ACTAACTTAGAAACCTTGATGCTAGATAGCTATAGGAAGGATTTTTTTTTTAATTAGGGTTTTTTTTTTACATTTCTCCTATTATATTTTTTTTTAATTATGAGACAGTTTTAATATTATAATTTCTCGAATATACTATTACTAGTGAATGATTTGATCCCAAACTTATATTCCTGTTTTTTTTAGTTTTAAGTATGACTATCTAATAAGCTAAATAGTTTTCATTTGAGATTATATTTTGACTAAAAGATGCATATATATTGCAAACGGAAGACTATAATTGCAGTACCAAAATTTCGCACAGAAAGTTTACATAAAATATTTTGTCAAAAAACATCGCATCGCACTTGTTGATGATGTTACCGTAAGAGAGAGTAAGTGGAAATAATTCTAGGTGACTGTTTGATTGTTATTGTTTTTGTTTTGATTTATCATTTCTTTTCCCTTAATCTTTTTCTTTACAATTTCAGGTGTCGGATCGCGTTATTGCTTACCCAGAAAAATCCTCATTAATTCCGATACCGAAACCATTTGTGGTACCCGGTGGACGTTTCCGGGAAATGTATTACTGGGATAGTTTCTTTACCATCAAAGGTCTTTTGGCTTCCGGCATGCATAACACCGTGCGCGGAATGATCGAAAATATGGGAAGTCTGATCGAAAGGTAATTCTGCGCTTCGATATACTTAGAACACCGTTTGATAAATCCGATTTTGAAACTTAAATTTCAATTCTAAGTTGTTTTTAAATGAAATAAAAGATGAAATATTTGTTGCTACACCTGACTTAAACATATATCAGTTTGAATTTAAATATAGTCTTTTAAATTTCAAGATTTGGCTATGTACCAAACGGAAATCGCGTATATTATCTCAACCGATCTCAACCTCCGTTACTCACTTGGTGTCTATCTGCATATTACGAAGCAACAGATGATAAGGAGTTTGTCTTCACTGGTGCTCGTTGGTTCGAAAGAGAATTTGAATTTTTTAAAAGGCATAAGTAAGTGTTGGATTCGAAGCAGAAAGCATTTCTCCATATGACTTTCGTAATTTAATTTGGATTTGTAATGGGATTTGAAGGAAAGAAGTGGATTTTGATCAGTGCGAAATATTGCTTCTCAGTTTTTCAAAATTTTCAGGTCAATTCAGCTGCCCGGTGTAACATCATTGCTCTATCGCTACCATGTTGTAGCCGTTGGTCCACGTCCGGAAAGCTATCGTGAAGACGTTGAAAGTGCTCATCATATCGAGGATGTTCTAGAGAAACAACGTTTATGGGGTGATATAGCAGCTGCAGCTGAAAGTGGACGAGATTTTAGCTCACGTTGGTTCTCTCAAGATGGACCTGTAGCTGGTAAAATGGGTTCAACACGGTATATTACCTTAAATTTATTTTAATTGAATTTACTATGTTAGGATGGCGTCACATGAATTTAATAAACATGAATCAATCTAGTCTTATCCATTTAAAACAGGAAATTCACCACACTATTTGTAAATTAATCTGTTAAATAATCTGGCAAATAAGATAATTGTGCTTCTTAAATTTATATGGGTTATGCTTGAGTTACATTTCTAGGACTAGTTCGATTTTACCAATCGATTTGAATGCAATCATTTGCGGAAATCTCCGTTTAATGGCCAATTTGTATGAGGTAATTAACGATATGTCAAGTGCTGAGCACTGTCGGCAACAGTTCAGAAGTATGAAGCAAGCAATTCATCAAGTATTCTGGAATGAGGAATGTGGTTGCTGGTTCGATTACGACATCATCAATGGTTGTCATGTTAATCTTTATATGGATACCAATTTCTTTCCACTGTTCAGTGGATGTATGCATGATGGTGAGATCATTTGATTTATTTGATTTAATATAAAGGTAGAGTTCTCGAAATTAAAAGTGTTAACTGAAATATTTACATTTTTATGTAAATTTTTTTGTAGTTTTTCTATATAATTTAAATATGTATAGAAAATAATTTTTTAAATCCAGTCGTTATAATTTTTAAATCCAGCCGTTCAGCCCATTAAATCATTTAATTTAATTCGAAATTTGAAAATTGGCGTTTTCAAGTTTACAGTAAATACTTTAGGGTAAGGCAATAAGTGTGCTTGGATTTTGTAAAAATCCGTTAACTTCGTTTTCAGATTTCGATCCGCAAAAAATAGTATCATACATGACGAACATGGGTGTTTTGGCATTCCCAGGTGGTTTGCCAAGTTCGCTGATACCATCTGGACAGCAATGGGATTTCCCGAACGCTTGGGCACCAACAACTTGGGTTATTATTCAAGGTTTGCGTTCCACAGGTCAACATGAGCTTGCTCGTCAAATTGCCGAGAAGTGGATCAAACGAAATTACAGCATGTGGCTTATTTCTGGTGGACGAATGTTTGAAAAGGTTGGCGTTTTTGAATTTGAAATTTGTGGATCAAAAAATCACATGTAAATCATGTTTTTTGGGTGTGAAAATATCTTATAATTTTCAGTATAATGTTGCGTCGCAAAACTATAATACGGCTGGAAGTGGTGGCGAATACGAGGTGCAAGAAGGATTTGGATGGACCAATGGTGTAGTCTTGGATTTGCTTCTTACATATGGACCTGACTTGACCTTTAAGTCGGATGAAGAGACGTCTGTGACACCGGGAGAAGGATACGTTTATTGCCAGGAGCACCAGCAGATTTCTGATGTTACCACAACTACTAACACCATACTGGTACCTTCACCAATTGATTCTGGTCTCTAATGAGTTCAGATTGTGGAGTAGATATGAAAAATATAGAAATACTACCACGTTATATCTTGTATAGCATCATTTTGACACTGTTTCTCGAAATATCAAATTTCCAAACAATTTTAGAGCGCCTTCAAACATCATTAGGGTTATTTAAGGTACATAAAATATGTGGAATTTTGAAATTTATTAGTAGAGAGTGAAATGAATGATATAGTAATGTGGATTCGAGATACTTCGTTACTTTTTTTTCAACACAACGCAAAATAGATGAGAAGTGAATGTCAGTAGTTAATTCATAATTGTTGTTGTAGGACAATATGAAGTAATTTTCAATGAAAAATAAAAAAAATAAAAAAAAANCTTTTTATAGGGATTTGGAAATTTTTCAACCTAAATCTCTCCTCTCTGAAAATGCCAATTTAGAATGCGATCTTTTTAAGATAACTATACGGGTTATACTGAAACATATATATATGTATGAC